TGTGTGTGTAATGTGTTGAAAAAAGGAATTGAAGCAACGAGTCATGTGGACTATAAAACACTGGTTTATTTCAAAAGAAATTTTCGACTAGTCTTCTGGTCTTTTTCAGCTTACAAAACTAATTACTAAATAATTAACTAGTTTTGTAAGCTGAAGAAGACAGAGGACTGGTCGAAAATTTCTTTTGAAATAAACCAGTGTTTTATAGTCCACATGACTCGTTGCTTCAATTCCTTGTTTCAACAGCTTTTATATAATTTCAAGAACACACGTGGATTTATGACGATATATATATATATATATATATATACATAAATATATATATATATATATATATTATTCAAATTCAATATAAACAAATAGATACAGATAAGTAATAACATTCTAATTCTAAACTTTAGGTTGAACTTTTCAGTATTATGATAATATGTTACACTTATACTGTATACAGCTTCTTCCCAACAATGCCTCTATTAAGCGCTTCACATTATTATTCCGGTCATAGGATCAAGCACATATGGAACATACTCAGCTCCCTGGGCAGAATTCCATATGCAGTAATCAGCGCATTTTGGGTTTTAACCTACCAGATACACTTGTACTCCTGGGCAGACAGACACAACCGTTGGTAAAGTGCCTTCACCTAGGGCACATAAGCATGAAATTTGTTATAATATTCTGGTCAATGGTGTATATTTGTTTATATGACGACAATATGTTCTCTTGATCACAATGTTTTGTTTATTTCAAATTTTACTGTTACAGAATCATGAAAACAGGTGGAAGAAGGTTTCCATCATGCTTGAAACCGGACGGAACTGAGTTCACTATTCCCGGTGCTGGAACTGTGCAATTTGACGTTGGCTACAAGAAAACTGCATTTATGCGTGATATGGATAACGACGGAAAAGATGATTTTTGCAGGTAAGCGTATGGCATATACGGTAGTCAATAAGTATGCATATGGGTTGTATAATGTAATTGTTGATAATAGATAAAGTCATTTGTGTAAAGTTGAGAAGAATATGTAAACAGAATTTCATTGTTGATATAACTTCTTTTCGTTCATGCATTCTTTCAAAGTTAATTGACTCTTTCAAATAAAGTATAGGTAACAACTGCAGCAATTAAGTAATACTTTAGTTTTAAAAACCAAAAGAAACGCAAACACTGTAAAAACAGCCTATCTAAAGTTTATTATTAATAATCGCTCTATTAGACTGTGATTCCACAATTATAATTAATGTTTTTACAAAAGATTAAAATCTAAACTGTTTTATTTCCAAATAGATGCATCAGGGACGGAAGAAGTTCGAAGTTTCGGTGTGTCAAAGCAGGAACAGATTACTTCCGACCAGAAGAGGGTTTCGATTTGGTCGACGCCCCTTACGATGGGCAGTGTAAAACAGTGCAAGTTGACCATGACACTGGCTTTATTTATTAATTTTATTCTTTACTTGGAAAAAAAACCTTCTTTAGTCAATAACATTTTAAGTTTTACACGTAACGATATACTATAGTTTAAAACATAATTAATTATGAAATTAATACTTAAGATTATGTAGCCACGGTGTTACACTTGTGTTCATTAATCAATTACACTACGATTATAGTGATTTCAGGCCATTCCTTAAGGTACAAAAATTATGTTCAGCCCGATTTTTAAAGATTATTGGTTTATGGAGCATGACTTTGCCTACTGTAATGGATCTTTTAGTATTCGGTATTCTTTTTTTGCCTTTGTAAACAACATCAATGAAATAGCATTGCAAGGGGCTCTGAGATTTAAAAAAAAAATGTAATGTGACAACCAAATTTAACAACTAACCAATCACAACAGAAAGAATATTGTTTATCAAAAGGGTGGGGCTTAGTGGAATCATCGATATACTGGCGTGTACTTGCTATCACTTGTTAGATGTGGAAAAAAGCTGGATATCGGTGCATTCGCTTTTGTCAACCACTAGCCCTGTTTCTAAATAAATTAAATCTAATCAATCTCATACACGATATGTGTTTTATATAACATTTTTAATCGAAAGATATAACCACACTAACATTTATCTTATTCATTGTCAATATGAAAGATTATTAAATAAAAATTGGTATAGAGATATTTGTCATCATTCATATAATTACAGTATCGTCAAACAGATCGAATACCAAATCTGACAAATTCAGATTGAGCGATAGAAATTTACTATGTGGCACTAAACTTTAGTACAGTGGTATATGGGATTTTATTTGAATTAAATTGCAAAATAAGCAACTATTATGTTTCTGAGAAAGTTTGACCATTGTTGTGTGTGCTTTGTTTATGTTCTGAACATTGGCGATGAAGGGACCCATGTGTCCCAGAGATTCCAGTTTCTCCCTACTAAATGTCCAAGCTCCTAAAAAGTGAACCACACCCATCCTCAGTCATATCAATTCAATTCAAAATTCTTTATTTATCCCACGTTGGGCAATTTCACACAGGGCTGAATAACAGTAAATAACAGCATAACTAAAAATCTACTAAGAAACCCATTTAAAAAACATGTAAATCAACAAAGTTATACCTATCTACTTTTATTCAATAGCCTTATACCAGTTGTGACAAAAGAATTTAATTTCGTTTAGTCCTACACACAGGACTCTGATAACGGACACCATGTGGTAGGAGTTCAAACTCATTTAAAAAAAAAGCATGTTCTCTTGTTTCTAAAATATGTTTACATTTACCTACAATGTGTTTGTCACAGAAGGACGAGAGACTGCATAATGGACTTCTTATTATTTTCGAGCATGAATTTACTATTTTCCGTAGAGAAGATCTATCTTTAAGGTTTAAATTATAATACCAGCATATAAAAGAAAAGGTTAAGACATTTTCCACAAATGAATTATAAAACATTTTAAAATAGACTTATTTAGTTAAATTCATTTAACTTCCTACGAATATACAGTCTCTGGTTGCCTTTTTTAATTAAAGTTGAGACTGTCCTCAAATATGGTACCAAGGTGCTTATAAAAGTTAACAATCTCAACTGGTTCGTTATTTAAGAGTGTGACCCCAGCACCGTATCTTTTTCGCCGGAAATCAATAATCATTTCTTTTGTTTTGGAAACATTCAATTTAAGTTCATGTCATCACAAAATTTAATAAATGTATCCAAAACTTGGCCATGACCATCATTTCCATCTTTAAGAAGTGTAAGTAAAGCAGAGTCATCTGCAAACTTAACAATAAAACTATTTTCATGCGTGCTACGGCAATCGTCAGTATAAAGGATATAAAGTAATGGGGACAAGACACAGCCCTGGGGTGAACCTGTATTTGTAACATACCACTTGGAATATGTATTGTTAACTAAAACTCGTTGGCGTCTATTTGTTAAAAAATCCAAAATAAATAAGCTTAAATCGTGATTGGAGCAAATTTTAATGCTTAAGGCACAGTAAACACCAAAACGTGTTATCTGTGGCGATGTCGATGGCAATGATAATGAAAAGCTAAATTCATGCGCCTTATTTCCTCCATTCATAGTAGTTTAATACATAATACAGCAACACATATTTACTATATTACAATAAGAAGTTAATATCCCACAGTTTATGTATGTATTTATGTATGTGTGTGTGTATGTATGTATGGAAAGTAGCATACAAACGTTAATACCGTTGCTTCAAAATATAATGACAAAAGGTATGAAAGAGTACTGGCTAGCGATATGTTAGTGAATTTTCAACCGATATACAGTATTACTACATGTGACTTACAATGTTGTTTAAGAAATTCTAACAAGTACTGTTAAAACATAGAGCTCCATGATTAAAATTATTAACCTTGAACTACAGCACTCATCTGACAAAGAACAATTAAAAAAGTTGACTTAGCCGAGTACTTTAAAACCGCCATTGCAGCCCTAGAGGGCATACAGATTAGGCCTGCAGGTAGATGAAATTTATGTGTCAAAGGAACCATACTCTCAGTTGAATTTGTTTAGTTGCTAGCACGGTTACATTTTGCTATTCTAATGTTTGACAATATTTTAGTATAGTTATTGTTAATTTATACTAAATAGTTTTAGATTGCATATGAGAGAAAAACGAACTGTCTTCAGAAAAATCTGTTCATATTTCAAGACCTCGGTTACTTTTAGAAACATTTATATACATACGAATTCAATCTATTATGTTACCATACTGTACAATAATAAAATGTCATTGGCGAATTTTACACGTTCTTACCCTAAAATTGCATTTTGAAGCTAGTCCGCCATTGGATGATTATGATTTGAATATGTTTGGTATCATACAAAACATATTAAAATTATCTATCAAGTGATATATATTATGACATATTATATTTATTTTTTTTTATTTACCAAAACAAGTCATAAAAATAATTTTTTTTGGTACCTTTTGGGATACAACTTTTACATAGTGTGTCATCATACACATCATTTGATAGATAATTTTAGTTGCTTTTGTATGATACCAAATATATTCAAATTGAATCCTTTAGTAACATACTAGCTTAAAATACCATTCCGTGTCAGCCAAGAGCTGGTGATGAGGACTCACCTTGTTTCTAGCTTGTAAAAAAATCATAACTACGAAAAAAAACTTAAAAATTAATCACTTTTACTCTGATGGCCACCCGTCTATTATGACGCAGAAATAATTATTTACATACATTTTCATATAATTGAAAGCGCCACAAGGACCAATAACAGTTTAAATATACCGAAATGGACTAAAGGTAAGGTCTTCGAAATTGTACAATCCGGAATGTTCATCCTGCTTTCTTTAGCATTTTTGTCAGACTGTGCAATGCTCTGAGGGGATCACCACTCCTCAAAGCGAGTATGTTTATTTTCCAAGCATATGCCGGTATCCATTAAAACTCATGTGTGTAGAGAGGGTCAAACGCAGGTACGCAAGCAAAAGCTTGAACCTTCGACAACAAGATTGAGAGTCCGGACCACAACTGCTGGACCAATTGCTTCCCTATGCCTATAAAATGGTAAATATAAATTTAATATCTGTTTAATTTCATTAAAATAGGTTAAAACAGTTTTACAAAAGGTTAATATAAGAGTTTCACGTGTTGAGCTAGTTATTATCCCACGCTTTCACTGAGGATGCTGGCGATCCTGCTCGACTTCCTGCTGAACTTGGTGCAATGAACAATCCATTGAGGGATCCTGTGTAGAATAAAAAATTATAGGAACATTTTATCATTTTTAAATTTTTTATTGACTACTCAAATAAAATTGTTCAATATTTTAATTTCTGTGTGGGTTATCGAGATCTACAGTATTATCCGCTTACACCACTATATGAAAAACATTTATAATAGCAAAATAGGTGGAATCTACGGTGGGGTTGTGGGCTCAATGTAGATGGAGAAGAATAGACATAATACATATATAATAAATAATACATAGAAAAGATCAGTTTTACATGATGATTTAGTTACACAATTTAATGCATGCAATTAATTTTTATATATAGTTGTATTTCCCTCATCAGTATTGGAATCCCATTAGGACTGTCTGTTTGCCAATTGAAACTGAAAATGTTGTGAACAGACTAAATTTATAGTTTATTATTTCATTAGAATGAGAACCTAAAATATATTTAGATAACTGTTTACTACTACGTAACTAGAAATTGCAAATTGCAAGTGAAGTGCTGCGAAGTACAACTGCATATGTTCTTCGAACAAAATTATTTATGCGACTCAAGTGAAAATAATGAATAATAAAAATATAACAAATAATATGAGACACGACCCATTTGTCTATATTAGAACACTTCTCATTGGGTAACAAAGTCGTTTTTTTGTCAAAAAGTGTCTATAGTGGTGAATTATGGTTTAGGTTTTTTTTTAATAAAGTTTCAAAAATTTCTATGTATGTGGAAAATGTTGTTGATTACCAAAGGTTACAATTTTTATTTTGAAGACTGCATGGTCTAGGAAGTGTACATTTTTTTATGGGGCAAGTTTGCAAGGGCGGGTTTTCTAGGGGCGAGTTGACTGCCAAAGAGTGTTGCCAAAGTGCGAGCCAGCGTGTTATGTGGTGCCAGCATTTGCCCGATGGGTTCAGGAGGGAAAATCCCCCGAAAAAATGATAATTTAGGGGTTTCAAAAGCTTATTTAATCAATTTTATAGTCTACTAATATGAAGAAAATACATACACATTTTTTTCTCCCCGCCGACGAATTGTGGCTTTTCTCCCCGAAGGTTGGGGGGGGGGGGGTGGCAGCTCTCCCCGACATGGTGGAGAAAGGGCCCCCCCCCCAGTGGCACCCCTGCTAGAATGTGAAAAACGCCATATAAATTCGGACTAAAAAAAAACCCGTTTTGTTTATTTATTATAAATTAAGAAAATGAATACATTATACGTACATTTTGTAAAAGCAGACTCCAAATACTAATAACCCAATTACTGCAAAACAACACGCTCCAACCACAATGAACATGGTGTATGACTTTGGATATTTGCCACCTTCCTCACTTTCTTCTGTGTTGTAAAGAGAGACGTCCACGATGTCCATCAGGATTTCAGTTTCAATATTTGTCTTTCCTTGTTCAATCGAAGACTTCACAACATCAGCAGAAATATACTCTGGTATTTTTGAAAGATCATTTTGATTGTTATAATAACGATTTTTAGATACTTTATGTAACTAATAAACAATTTGTAAGGTTGTGTGATTGCTCCAATCAAATAATTACCCTTTAACCTTTCAACTGATAATGAAGCGGGTTTAAGCTTTTAAGAACAGTCATCTATCTATGAACTACTTACAGGTCTAATACAATTATAATAATAATAATTATTATTATAATGTTCATCTGGAAAGTGTTGTTCGACCTGATTCAGTACATTTGGCAATGTTTTTTTCATTATATCCAAATACACTAATTCCTAATTTAATACATTTCACTTACCATTTGTATTTCTTCTTTGTCTAAATACATTGTTATATTGGTGGTTAATTACATCTCTCCTGGCCCTGTCGTCATCATTATTCTGGAAGCATGTCTCAATATAATTGTTGTGTTTAATTGAAAGTACTATAACAATCTGACTCTCAGATATTCTCTCATTCAGATTGACGTTTTCACTAGTTGTAACATCTCCATCTAAAGTATCCTGTCTAAAAATATAAGATCACAGAATATAATAGAATAAAATAACTATATTGCATTATAGGACTTGCTGTTAAATGTAGCATAGGCCGACCCATTATAAATTTATACAAAGCTGCAAGCTCTGTTGGTTTCTCCCATTGGGCTTAGAACAATGAGGAGTGAAATAAATATATACATGTATAACAAAATTAATTTAAAACTAATGATTAATATATTAAAATAGTTTTACTTACTCGTTGAAATCTGTCACAGAACAACACTTTCGAGCATTAGAGTAACAAAATGAGTTTACTGCCTTTGAAACACTTGCACGGAATGCTTGTTTTGCACTAATCCACTGAAAATACGTAAAACTATGATTAAGCTTTAAGTAAATTGTTGATATACCAATTCATGAACAGAATTATTATATTATTAAAGCCATATGAAACCATTGTAATTACATCACAAATTGTATATGTACTTTTTATTTTAATACAGACCTGTTCTTCTCGACCTTGTAGTGTCAATTTTATAGCCTCTTGGTAATTCATGGTTTGTTCTTTAAGATAAAAATGTGATTACTTAATCAAAATATACACACATTATCCAAAATCAAATATATTATTATAAGCACACTGACCACTGGAAATTAATCCTTTAATAAGTTATTAATAAAAATATTATACTGAAAATGATTTATTAAATATTAATTGATAGCACTTCTTACATTAGTATTAAAAATCTATTGAATATTCCAGAATTACATAAGGGAAAGTCACTGTAAAAGCAACGATTGGCACACCGGTAAAGCTGTGGGCATCAATATCAAACGATGGTTCATTCCGAGGTAGACAACCGGCATCAAAAACCGAAAGGTCCACTGATTAATCTCAGATAAGACAGTATAATACATACTCCAAGTATCGAAATTCACACCATCGTGTTGGGATTCAATATTTCGACATTAATTATGTCATTATCACAAATGTAATGTACTTGTAGTTGGCCAAGAAACTTCACTTACGCTTTCCATTACAAGAGTTTCTTAAGAAATGTTGGTAATTGGAGGGACAAACAAAAAGAAAAACAAGCTATACTTACCATTTAAGATCGTGGAATCGACCTCTTTCTTCGTCACAGTAGCTGTCTTGGTCGTATTATTTAGATCAATTAAACCGGTACTTGCTTGCGGTGCTGTAGGACTATTTGACGTAGAGCTGACCTGTGCTGAAGCCCTCTCACTAGTACCTTCATGTCTGGTAGCTGTACTCCCGTGGCCATCAGGTATCGTTGTTTTCATTGGAGTCGCTGGAAAAATTGGATAATTGTCTCAGGTTGGGCTTGTAAATCGATAAATGTTTTGCTATTTAAGGACGTTAATAGATAAGTAACTCTAATGGCATGATGCAACCTTGTTTGACCACCGCTGGCAATAGACAGACGTAGTCATTTGACTATATTGCATGGCTGTAGGTTGCCTCCCTACGTTTTTTAGTGAACGCAACGTCAGTAAAAGTATAGCTAGTATCCCTTTGATGTTTGTTGTTATCAATCAGAGAAATCTTAGATTGGGGTTTTAAGTAAAAAAACAATTACAATCCAATTGCAATATTATGTAGAAATTATCCATCAATTATTACAACAGTGTTAAAATCCAATGAATATTATGGAATTACATACAGAAAAATCCATGTACATAAAGAAAAAAAAAACTTGCGGCGCATAGGTAAAAGGCTTGGGCATCAAAATCAAACGATGGTTCATTCTGATTACACGGTAATTTACTACCAATACTTGTTTGCCAACTTGGACAAGAGACTACATTTTCCATTACCCGAGTTTCTTATCGATATTGGTATTTGGAAGGAAAAACAAAAAGAAAAACAATATACACTTACTATTTAAAATTGTGGAACCAACCTCTGTCTTCTTCACACTAACTGGCTCAGTCGTATTATTTAGATCTTCTAAATCGCTGTTTGTTTGCGGTGCCGTATGCATCGTATTTCCCTGACTTCTACTGGTACCTTTTATATAATGTGTAGGACTAGGATTGACCTGTGCCGAAGATATGCCAATAGTTTCATGATTTCTGATAGCTGTAGTTCCGTAATTATCAGGTATCGTCGTTTTCAATGGAGTCACTGAAGGTTGGACAGTTGTCTCAGGTTATTATTATTCTTTATTATTATTATTTGAGTTATATATTACACATTTAAAACATATCAGGAACAACAGCAGTCAAACAAAAAATTGACTGAATATGTTATATTTACAAGACAATTTCAAACTTTGCTCAAAATTAATCAAATTCACAAAAAAGAATTCAAAATTTTTAATATTTAAAAATTACATTTATAAAAAAAACTCACATCCACACCCTACTATGGACTGTCACCAAAATATAATAATTTCTTCATTGGGTTATATCTAACACTCCCTGTTATTTTAAATTATGTCTGTGCAGTTGTTTTTGAGATATGTCGCATACAAAAAAAAAAACCATACGAAAACACCAAAACGTTACACACACACAAACTTACACGACTGAAAACATATATCTCCTGACGGAGATAATAATAATAATGACAAAATATATTTAAAAATTAAATAAAACAAACGAACAAACAAATAAAAACAAATAAATGAATAAGAAAAAAATTAATAAAATTTAAAAAAAAATAAATTAAAAAAATTAATAAATAAATAGGTAAAAAAATGAATAAATAAAATAATACGGTAGTCTGGATTGGAAAAAGTATATAATAATAAGTAGGCTAATATTGATTGCGTGGAAATAATTATATAAACTGAAACGGTTGCATAAAATAATGTTAATCATAATAGCAATAAGTGAATAACTACAATAAAATAATTACTATGAACATGAGGCTATACCTGCCATACACTGAGACCAGAAATTTCTTAAGTTTGGATTTAAAGAATGGAAAATCAGGTACGTTTCTAAACATACAGTAGTAGATAAAGTGTTGCATAATTTTGGACCATTGTAGAAGATTGCATTTTTTTCGATGAAGAGATGTGTATTTTTAAAACAAAACATTACTTTTAGAGAATATGCTTTTACAATTATGTATATCAACTGCTGTTTGGGAAATAATGTGTTTAAGTAGTGTATTATTTATAAAACCATACATAAAGTTATAAGTTATACTTATATAAATCAAAAACTTTGTGAATATTAAATTTGTAAAATGAAGGTTTGGTATGTGGTATCTAATGTGAAGGCAGTACTTCTATATGGATCTGAAACGTGGTGAAATACGAAATGTTTAATGACAATAACAGGTGAGACAAATACTAAGAATATGGTGGACGGAGAAGATAACAAATGAAGAACTTTGGGAAAGGACTAGACAGGAGCCAATTGAAACCCAGATTTGCAGGAGGAAATTTGGATGGATTGGCCACATATTAAGGAGAAATAGAAACACCATCACAAGACAAGCCCTAACATGGAATCCACAAGGAAAAAGAAAAAGAGGACGACCAAGGAACACATGGAGGAGAGAACTAGAAAAAGAAGTGAAAAGTGCTGGATACACCTGGTCGGAGATGGAAGGAATTGCTCAGAACCGTGTGAGATGGAGACTTGTAGTTGATGGCCTATGCACTGCCAGGTGTAACAAGGCTTAAATAAGTAAGATGTGATATACGGGCTGATCCTGCACAAATCCTAAGAGTATCTTTTTGCAATTTGAAAATGTTATGAATATTTGTTACTTCAGGACTTGTCCAGGAACATAGGTAAAGAAATTTGTCAATAGTAGTAGCCCATGATATATTACAGTAATTAATAATGAATTAGAAACTTTTTGTAATTTAATATTGACAATGAGTTCAGTTTTATTTTTATGTAAGTAAATATATTTGGTCGTCCACTAAGGAACAACATTTAATAATGACGAACTATTAGCAAAATCATTAACATATATTAAAAATAATAAGGGTTCAAGTAAGGATCAACTCAGAAACACCACAGAAAAAGCAGAGTTATTGAATTAATTGAAACAAATTATTTCCTATTGCCAAGGTATTTTCTAAATAAATCAAGAGGTAGGCCTCTGATACCCAACATTCGAGTTTCATTAAAAGAATTTCATGATCAATTGTACCAAAAGCCCTGCTTAAATTAGGAGAATGCCAACTGTAAAATCATTATTGTTAAATGGCTTTAGCAATTGGTTATAAATATCAATAAGAGCAAGATCTGCAGAAAAAAAAATCCTAAACCATATTGACGATTATGAAGAATATTGTGTTTAGTTAAAAAATGAATTAATGTATCATAAATTAATCATTCCAGATTTTTGAAAGGCATGGTAACAATTGAAATAGATTTATAATTAATGAATAAATAATGGTCATCTTTTTTTTGAAAGTAAGAACTACCTTGGCAACCTTGAGTAAAACAGGAAAAATTATTTTGGCAAGACACAAATTAAAAATATTGGATAAGTTTTAGAAATTAATGTAGGTATGGATTTAATAACATTGTTTAATATTTTATCACATTCTGGGCTCTTATTATTTTTCAAAGTGTTATTGATATTTTAACGATTTCATCTTTAGAAGTAGGTACAAGAAAAGATTGTAAAAAAAATATATTATGAACATTTTAAGCAAGTCTTGATATACATCGTGTTACTGTCTTTTGAGTACTGCCGTTTCTGTATGATGGTACTGACAAAAATAATAATTCTAAAAAAAATTAACAACTTCTTTTGATCGTTATATGTAAAACACAACAGACAATTTTAGTATTCATAATGGTAACTACTTAATATAGAAATCCATGATACCAACCTTAAAGGTGAAAGTGATAGTAATAATAGGCCTTAAAATAGTAATAAATTAATGTATTAGTCAGTTTATCTTCATATTCCTGAACACTTCTATACCAAATGCAATTGATGGCCTCTGCAACTGCTGTGTTCTTATGTTGAGATCATGAGGTTGTTCCATACTTATAGCTTAGTACAAATTAATGTACTCATGGTTATAATTAATAATTGCACATAACAAAAACTAACAAGTTTGTACATACTGTTTGTATTAACTGTTGAGGTTCTTTCATGAACTGTAAAGGTATATGCAAGAGGCGATGTTTTAAAATTATCTGTTCCACTATTCAAAGTTGATGGCTTTGGGGATGAGTTTCCTACGTTTGAGTTTTGATAGTTTGCCGATGTGGATACAGATGGAGTTGCATCAGTAAAATCAAAACCAGTTTTAGAATCATCTTGATCTTGCGAAAAAGATGATATTCGTGGAACAGTAATGGGGTTAACAGTTGCATTTGTTCCTTGAGTATACGTTGTTGATGTTTCTGTAATAGAAGTATGTTTTACTTGTAAAAATGAACATTAGGAATATTTTAATCTAGTATTGATATAAATCGTGTTACAGTACTATTCGTTTCTGAATAATGGTACTGAAAAAAACTAAATGGAAAACAACAATTTACAACTAATAAATATAACAACTGAATGTGATCGTAATAATATATATATGTAAAGCAAAATAGACTGTTATGTATTCATAGTGGTAACGACATGATATAAAAATTCATAATATCATCTTAAAAGTTGAAGGTACTGTAATATTAATAACACTGTAGGCGTAATAATAAACTAACATACTAGTCAGTTTATCTCCATAATCCTCAAAACTTATACAACATAATAATCCAATAATTGATGATCTCTGCTAGTGTTGTGTTCTCAGGTTCGGATCATGAAGCGGTTGCGTAACTTATAGCTCACACCAAATTAATAGTCTCATGGTATATAAATAATAATTGCACATAGCAAAAGTTTGTAATTTTTACATACTGTTTGTATTAACCATTGAGGTTCTTTCATGAATAGTGACAGTATTTGTAAGAGGCGATGTTTTCAAATTATCTGTGCCACTATTTGATGTTGATGGCTTCGGAGATGGGTCGGCTATGTCTGAGTTTCCATAGTTTGCTGATGTGGATACCGATGGAGATCTATCAGCAAAATCAAATATATCAGTTGTAGAATCATCTTGATTTTCCGGAAAAGACGATATTTGTGGAACAGTAATGGAGTTAACAGTCGAATCTGTTCCTTCAACATAGGTTGTTGATGTTTCTGCAATAGAAAAATAAAAGGAAAACAACAATTTATAACTAATAAAGCTAACAACTAATGTGATCGGTATATGTAAAACAAAATAGACAATTATAGTATTCATAATGCTAACTACATATTATAAAATTTCATGATATCAACTTACAAAGGTGAAGGTAGTAGTAATAATAGGCATAATAATAATAATAATAACAAATTAATAAAATAATCAGTTTATCTCCATATTCATGAACAGTTCTACAACATAAAAATCCAATTTATGGTCTCTGCTAGTGTTGTGTTCTCAGGTTGAGTTCGTGAGGCTGTTCTGTACTCATAGCTTAGTACAAAACAAATGTACTCCTGGTATATAAATAATAATTGCACATAACAAAAATACAGAGGTTTGTAAATTTTACATACTATTTGTAGTAACCGTTGAGGTTCTTTCAAGAACTGTGAAGCTATCTGTAGGAGGCGAAGTATTCAAATTATCTGTGCCACTATTTGATGTTGATGACTTTGGAGATAGGTTGCCAACGTTTGAATTTCCAGAGTTTGTCGTGGTTGATCCAGATGAAGATGTATCAGAAACATCAAATATATCAGTTGTAGAATCATCTTGATCTTGCGAAAAAGACGATATTTGTATAACAGTAGTGGGGTTAACAGTTGAATCTGTTCCTTGAGTATAGTTTGTTGAAATTTCTGCAATAGAAGAATGTTTTACTTGTAAGAAATGAATATTAATAATATTTGTATAACATCAATAATATTTATTATACTTACCATAGTAACTTGAAATTCATTTTTACTAACCACAATAATATTATTGTGGTTTAGTACAAATGCATTATTTCAATTTACAATATTATATACAAACCAAATGAAATTATTCCAACTTACCTTTCCCACAAGACACATCGTCCAATTGCTCGGGACAAACACAATCATAGAGACTTGATCCATTGACAAATGCACACACCTCGCTGTTTTCACATTTACAAATGTTGACAGCAAAGAGAACAATTGCTGAAAATCCACATTTGTCATGCATTGTGATGTTAAACATTGATTCTTGATTTGCGGATGATACACTAGGTAACCAATTAAACTTCCCGTCTTGAGAAATGGTTGCATTTTCGAATGCTGATATCATGCTAAATGTGATGCTACATTGTTCATGATCTTTAATGTCAAACGTAAAGTTTAGTTGTTCCTGATGAATCGCTGGATATGGGTTAGATGTGAGAACTGTTGGAGCCATATCCTCTACGTAATAAAAAAAATGGCATAAACGTTTTGTACGGATTTAGTATAGTATACGTTATATTCAAAGTATAATATAATCAATCAATCATGATTTGTTTACAAGAATTATAAATAATGTCAACAAACCTTGACGCACTGACCAACTGTCGATTGAGATTTCTGGCAAACATTGTTGACAGCAATCATTCATATTTACATCAAACGCTGCATAACAATGACCATTTATATTGCAAGAATTATTCTGAAAGAAAATATTTGTCAAAAATGTATGTCTTTTAGTTTGAGCATGTGTTTATAGATATGAAAATCAGCAACTGTATTGTATAATATCTGTCTCTTATACACATCTAGATGTGTATAAGAGACAGATCATACACAATCATTATCACCATATCTTCACTTTTCAACTCCCCATCATTACTGATCGATATTAGATAACCGCTTGAAACTATTCCTTCTCCTGGTAAACTTGGTTGAACAGCTGGTTCGGGCAAAGGACATTTGACTTCTTGAGGTGTTCTAAATATACCAGCTACAGTAGATATTGTTGGTAGCACTGTTATGCCATCAGCACTTACCTTCATGGAGAAAAAAACATTTATGATATTATTTTTTAAAACGCTATGTTTATTCTAAAATGTATGTTTCTCTATCCTGATCTGAAAAATAAATATAAATTACAGTATAATATAACTTAGAATGTAATTTTACAGTTTTACAATAGTGATATATAAAAAATGATGTAGGCCTGTAGTCATTTGATTATTTATAGTCAATTTATTATCAGTTTAAATAGCTAATTCAATATTTAGATTTTAAAACTAAAAATAGTATTAATTTTTGTTAAATTTTCAGTTGTTTTATAAAAATTCAATTTCAATTTAAGAAATATAGTACTGTATGTACACCTGTCTCTTATACACATCTAGATGTGTATAAGAGACAGTCTATATACCGCGTTCACATGTCTTAGGTCGCGAGTGAACGATCGGCTCGCGAGTCGGGCCTTCATGTGAACAACCGCTCAAGAGCGGTTTTTGTCGTGGGTGACCCACGACAAGCTGCTGTCGAGCGGCTCTCGATGCAGCTCACTCTCGATCCATGTGAACAGCCGCTTGCAAGCGGGTCGCCAGCGAGCTGGGACCTCTTTTGTGTGAAAGCCAATCAGATACAAGCATCTCTCCGGGGTCAAAGTAAGGGAGAAAAAGTGTGACTTCACGTTTCCTGGCTGGAATAGAGTTAAGAATGGCGTGGTATTTACCATTTATACAAACTTGAAAATCACTTTTAATATAACAACAATAAATCACATAACTAAGTTTAAAAGTAATATTACTCGTGGATATCGTATCGTACATTTCTTCTACAAACATGATTTAATGATGTACGTGTACGGTTGTGTACCGATGCCTAGGCCTACGCTCGGAAGATTTTAAAATGCAAATTTTTATAAGTTCTTATGATTCGAAAATAAAGGCGAACTTACAATATATGTGGCAAAGACAAGCCAAACCAGTCACTCGTCGCAAAAATTGATTTTGAGTTATTAATATAGGGTTAAAGAGTAAAATAAGAGCTATAAAATGGTAAAAAAATCGTTCAAAACCGACATTTCCTTCTGAAGTTACAAGCATTTAAGCATACAGCTGTTTAAAGAACAATGAGAAATCAGCCTTCAAAGTTTATGAT